AAAAAACTGGATGAGGGAACATGGAAGGGGCTCAGAAATGTCTTCGTCTTACCGCTGGTATTTGGATGAGTCCAAGCAGTCGCCGAGGTGATGTGCAAGGGGCACTCGTTGAAAACCTTCTTGAAGAACGACTTTTCCTAGAACGAGAAGGAAAGCAAGGTTCATCCAAGCAGGAGGAGCGCCTGGGGTGTGTGTGTGTGTTTGAGCGTACAGCCTCCCTTCAGAGAGGATGCTTCTACTGCCGAATTGCATTGGGCGCCACAGCATCCTCTCATCACTCCCGATGCAGACTTACAGCAGAAAGAACCATCCTTTGGGGGTTAGGTAGAGGAGGTTGCCTCTAAAGTCCCTGAACGAGTCTGTGTTCCCCCAAATCGAGAGGGACACGGCCAGACCAAGGACAGGCAGAAATCCAGAAAGCCTCTAGAGTGAACTGACTCCTTGCTCATTATATCCTGCTAGAACAGCCTTATGAAAATCATCTACTTATCACAGGCAACCAGGCATTCCATGCCAGCAAATCAACAGTTCTGAGGAACATCACAGGTCTTAAAATCCCAAAAGTAAAGTTTCTCATCTCTGCAAGTCAGTCGCTTGGTGTATAACAGACAGATCTCTCAATTCCAACTTCACTGAAAAAAAATAAATCCACAAACTCTGGTCCTGCGTTTCAGCCCTGCATCTCACGCAGGGGACGAGATCTCCTTTTGCAGCTAGCAGAGAGAAACACAGGCTATCGTAAAACAAAAAGCAACCTTTGCGTTACGTGCTACTATGACACTCTCTGCAGGTTTGTATTTAAAAAATAAATAATCATAATCTACAGTCTGGTAACTTTTGTGGCGTTCTTTGCAAAGTGGTCCTAGAAGGTAACTCCGTTCCTGGAGCAAAATACTGTTGCCTCTCATGTTGGAGGCAGGGAAAGGAGTGCTGTGTTGAACAGAAGTCTGCTCGAGTGCCTTGAAGTGCTGACCGGTTTTGGTTTCTTCTCCGGCTTGGGCGGAAGGACGGGCGGCTCATCCGTCGGAAGGACCGAACTCAAGTCTGGGGCTGCGGAGGAAGGAGATGAGAATCAGGCCAGTTTGTCGGACCAATTCTTAGAGCCATATGAGCCCACCCTACTAATCTGATACCCCAGGTGGGAGCATGGAATTGACCCTGGAGGTGGACATCTCTCCCTCTCCTGCAGCAGATAAGAAGGCCTTATATATTAGCCAAGGCTGCACATGTTCAAGCGGCCTCACTCATCATATAACTCCCCTTAATAATAATATTATAATAGCAATTGCATGCCTTCAAGACAATTCTGACATACAGTGACCCTTTTCCAGGGGTTTCCAGGTAGAGAATACTCAGAAGTGGTTTACCTTTTCCTTCCTCTAGGGGGAGCCCTGGGACTGTGTACAGCTTGCCCAAGGCTACCCAGGCTGGCTCTTCTCCCAGGGAGCTCAGTGGGGGAATCGAACTCCCAACCTCTGGCTCCACAGCTGGAGGACTAAACCACTGAGCTATCCAGCCAGCTTAATATACAGCCTTATAAAGCAGGACTTGATAACAGAGAAGAGGAGAAGGTCCTCAAACCCAAGGGCTTAACAATCCACAATCCAGGAAGACTGGAAGGAAGGCTAATGGAAACATGAGAAGACATGTAGGAAGATGCTGTTCTTTCAGGGACACCTTGTGCGGGTAGGGAAGCCTTCTCAAGACTGTTGACCTCCCTTCTGATCGGCCGGACTAACACTCCCATCATCCCCAGCCATCGTGGGCCTTGCTGGGAGTGAGCCTGCCCTGAAGGCATCGAGGGACGTCATTCCATTGAGGTAGCCCTTCTGAGAGGTCCCTTTACTCCACAGCCGAGGTCTGGCTTGATATTCTGTACTCCCATTGTGATGGGGCTTCCTCCAGACAGAATGAGAATCTCTCGCACACGCACATATTCCTCCTTGGTTTGTGGTCTTGACTGGGTGGAAAAGACCCAAGGCAAGCTTTATTGTTTGATTGCTTTCTGTTTCGATCCATAAGGGGTATGTTGACGTATTTATTTTAAATCTCAGATTTCCAGTTTCCAAACTCTGGCAAACGACTCGGGGAGAACAGCTTTAGCCAAAACCAGTGCAGACTTTTTGCGGTGTGCCTTCAGATCCCTCTGGAGTTCAAGGTCTGTTTTAATCTGCCACCCCTTGGTTATTCCTTTATCCAGCACAAATGCTTTATTATAGGGTCAATTGCTGGAACAATTATTCTGTCCTCTCAGGGGCCTTTACACTCACTTTCTAGGATTTCAAGAGGCAGGAGAATACTGATCTGTATGGACTATTTAGGAGGACATTACTTGAACCTTCCCTGCTTCCAAATTACATCTCTGAAGTAAGAGGATTAGAAACTTGAGAGAATATTGAGCTGTCAAAGAAAAGACTGGGAATCTCAAGGGGGGCAGGGAGGCACCGTGATTACAGGTGTCCGTGTTAATGTTGTGCCCCTGCGCTTCTTCTTTTATATTTCTATTCATATTTTTCCTTTTACCTGATTTGGCTGTGAGGACAGAAGCTTGGGCCACCGTTGACACCATCAGATGAGGGAGCTGGCCCGCCATCGGACCGCTGGAGCATCGTCCCCAGGATATGGGCTTGGAAGGACATCCTACAGCGGGTCTGTTTGCCGCCAGGATCTCCTCTGGCGAGACCCTTTGTTTTGGCTGCGGAGAGAAAAGCAGGAACAGATTCCAATCAGCTCTGAGCTGACTTATTAGCATCCATCACAGCGAGGATCAGCAACAAAGGACAGTCTGTTGAGAAAAATATTCCCCCCCATCGAAAGGACACTGCGGTTTCCCAGAGAAAATAGTAGACCAGACCTTGGGAGATCTGGAGTCAAATCCCCACGTGGCCACAAGAGTGGGCCGTCTTGGTCCAGCCCTATCGTCCCAGCCCGATCCACCTCGCAAGGTTTGTTGGGGATAGTTATATAATTTATCTGGCTCTTAACTGGTTACTCACCTTGGGGGGCAATGGAGGCGGGAGATCAGCAGGAGAGGCGTGACTGAAAGGGAAAGTAAGTGGTAACCTTCCAGAATGAAGGTTGACAGTTTGCTGACTGCTGTATAATCAGTTAAGACGGTTGCTGTACCTAGCCCTGTATCATCAGCTCTGCCCTGCCTGGAAATCTCTGATATTCCCACTTTCGCACGAACTAAACATGAAACGTCCCAGTCTTGCCTAAAATCAGGCAAGATTGGGACGTTTCAAAGTGAGATGATGGGAGCGTGCATCTCCCATTCCCCCCACTTGCTGTTCTGATTTTTCTTTCCAAATGTCCTTCCTTTCACTGCGTCACAGCCTCTGCTGCCTCCGGGCTCTATGCGAGGTTCTCCCCTTTACCAAAACCCCACTTTCTTCATGACAGCTAAACTACAGCGCTTCTGTTACTGTCTTTCCTATTAGCACCAAGGAGGTCCCCAGCATTCTATGACATCACTGCATTTCAGCCAATAGCCTGCACAAGGGAGGCTGGCAGGAACACATAACTCACCCTAACCCTAGCCCTAACCCATCCCCTCTACATTATATAATTGTTTTTATATTTTAAAAGATGGAGGAGATTGATTTACCTGCTTGCATCATTTCGGCTGGGGCTGGACAGCAAAGGAGCCGCAAAATAGAAGGGAGGCAAAAATTAGAGGAAAGATTTGGGATGGCAGCGACAGAGTCATATTTTACAACCAGGTGGGTTAAATCGACCGTGGGACTGTTTTCTGAAAGTGCTTGTATTTTCAATAGTAAAAATATTTTAACAGCCACCTTTAACTCTTTACGACAACCTAGTCTGTGCCATGGAGCGAGGACCAAAAGATACATTAGAGTGAACATGTCATTGGCAGGGACTATATCTTAAGTGCTGAAAGCATCCGAGGACCCCAGCAATTGTTCTTCATGCACTTCCTAGTCTGAAAATTACTGTGCATTGTTTTCTGATTGGTCTCCAGGGAGGTAAACACAGACTTTGTTTGCAAGTCTGACTAGCCCGTTGTGAAGTCCTACAGGGACTTAGGTCTTTGAAACGCCAGAATGATTTCAGCTATAATACAATATAGCTTGACCCACATTCCCATGGGTGGGTGGAATTGCTGCTGGACCCTTCTGGTGCAAATTTGGACCACCTCCTCCAGCCAACTCCAAACAAGACACTCCATTGGGCCAAATTCTAGCTTTCATCTTTATAGAATCATATAAGTATTAAGTTGGAAGAGGCCGATAAGGCCATTGAGTCCAACCCCCTCCCTGCTCAAGGCAGGAATCCAGGTATCAAAGCAAATCTGAGAGCGGGCAGTCCAATTTCCTCCAGGGTTAGAGCACTGCTCACCACCTCCCAGGGCCCAAGGGTTCCATTGACGTACTGCTCTAACAGTTAAGAAGTCCCCCACCCCACCCGAGACTCACACCCAGGCAATCTGAAGTTTTATGCTGCAGCTTCCAGAATCTGCAAAATCTGAGTGAAATTGGCCTCTCGCCAGGGAAGGACATTCAACAAATCTTGGGTCTATGACCCAATTGCAGACTATTCAAAAGAGAACACCTCTAGGGGATAGAGGGGCATTTGGTAAAACCATATGGTGCGTTCACAAGATCATCCATAACTAGGGTTGCTTGAGGAACTAATTCTGGCTCCAGCAGGTTGCATCCCAAGAGGAAACAGTCTTTCTGTTTTATCACTTACATGTCCACATCGTCATAATCGTCGTCCGAATCTGTTTCATTTCCCCTGCAAAAACACACACACACACACACAGAGAAGCACAAGATAAGGCTGGTAAGCAGGAGAAACAAGCTTAGGGGTGGACGTCGGTCAAGAGCCGGGAACCTGTTGACCCCTTAGATATTTTCAATGCAACCCACAGAAGCTTTGTCCACCTTAGTCCATAATATGGGACTGTGCAAACTGGGGTCTGAAAAACCTAAGATACTCTAAGATAATATGTTTATTAACCCACTTTTGAGGGGGCTTAGTTTCTAGCCCAAGTGGTGGAAGATACCTATCATGACATGTGATTCTTTTCACCTAATAGTATGTTGCATTTACTGGGCATCGTTATGCGACTGGACACTGAAAAGTGAACATGGACTTAATTTGCCTCTGGATGTATGTTTCTGTAAAGAAACCAAGTGTTTGGAGGGAAAATAGGTAAATCGTTGGGTAATCCCAGTATGCACAGGTAGTAACATGACTTTTTCAATTTGGAACAGGCGTCATTTGTAACAGTGGTTCTCAATTTAGGGTCATCCAGGTGTTCTTGGACTACAACTCCCAGAAGCCTTCACCACCCGTTTCTGGGAGCTGCAGTTCACCTGGATTACCCAAGGTTGGGAAACACTGATTTTATACGATGAGAAACGTAAAGAACGCTCCCCTAAACTCCATGCTTTTGAGGCTGCACCATCAAGTAAAAAAACCCTAAAGGTGTAATAGGTCTCGTTCTAAATAATACACGTATCCCAATCCCATCATACTGCAGGCGCCTTCTATATCCAGGAGCTAGAAACCGGCCAGATTGCTACTCTGGGTTCACTCATTTCATGTGCGTATTGCATCATAAAGAGCTCTTGGTATAACCGGCCATCCTGAAGAGCAACGGTCAAGGGGTTCTTACCTGCCGCTGAAGGCAGAGCTGTAGAGATTGCCACCTGTACCATAACGGGGGTCTGTGTTTAGTTCCTGCAGGCAGAAGGCAAGAAGGCTGGAGAAACCGGTAATACTGGGGGAGCACCCCGGGGTTTAGAGAAAGACATTCGCCTGGGCTCTCCCTGTGCATGTGTTATGAGCCTGATTTAATCACAATCATCTTAGAACTGCAGCGTTAAAGGGGGCTCTGTGGGTCGGGTCCAGCCCCTGTCAAGGAGGTACAAGTGGGGGGATCGAACTTCCAACCTGTGGCTCTGCTGCTGGAGGCCAATCCACTGAGCTATCCAGCAGTTCTTGAAATAATAAGAACTACAGAGCTGGAAGAGGTGGCTCTGCCACTGGAGGCCAAACCACTGAGCTATCCAGCAGTTCTTTAAATAATAAGAACTACAGAGCTGGAAGAGGGACCCCCAGAGGTCATCTAGTCCAGCCGCTGTCAAGGAGGCCCCGTGGGGGGGGAATCGAACTGCCGGCCACGGGCTCCGCAGCTGGAGATCTCAACCCCTGCACTGGAGGCCAAACCACTGAGCTATCCAGCAGTTCTTTAAATAATAAGAACTACAGAGCTGGAAGAGGGACCCCCAGAGGTCATCTAGTCCAGCCGCTGTCAAGGAGGCCCCGTGGGGGGGGAATCGAACTGCCGGCCACGGGCTCCGCAGCTGGAGATCTCAACCCCTGAGCCGGCCTCAGGCTCCGCAGCTGGAGATCTCAACCCCTGAGCCATCCAGCTGTGCAGCTGCCTAGAGAGGATGGGGGTTCTGATTCAACACATCAGGAGGTGGGAAAAGGCAGAAGGTTGTGCTAGGGTTTGGTCGTCACCCCCAGCACTCTGGAGACCCCCGAGTCTAGCAAAAAACATAGGCTGTCGGCATGGAAACTCAGCTAGCCAGGACCGGCAAGGGTGGGTGAGAGCAAAGGGGGCAAAGTGCCAGGTGGGCATCCGAGAAGATGAAAGGATGAGCCTGAAAACCCCACAAGGTTCATCTGCCCCCTCTCTCTCTAGGGCCAGCGGGAGAAGAACGGGGGGGGGTCGCTGGAAAGAAACAACGCCCTCTTTCTGAGGAACAGAGAGGACAAGCACCCCATTATCCATTTGAGGGGAAAAGACAGGGAGGGAGGCGGAAAGAGGTACCGTGAAGTCCGGGGAATCCAGGCTCCTCCTGTTTCTGAGACCGAGACCAAAATTATGGGCTGCAATGAGACGGGAGGAAGGAGATTTAGAACAGGTGGATCCACGTCAAATGGGAGAAGGTGGTCTTGGGGAAGAGACCACAGTCGGGCAGGGCAGGGGAAACCGGACAGGGGGCACCGAAGGGCAGACGTACTTTGGTGTTCGGTGCATCCGGGTGAGGTGACTCCTTGGCGTCGGCTGGAGCAGATTCTTCGGGGCACTGGAGGAGGAGGCAGCTGCGGTCAAAAAGACAAGCCGTGAGTTGCGTGGGGCAAGCAAGGTCTGCTTCAAAACCTCTGACCGTGCAATCGCTCATGGGTGCTCCCCCCTTCTGTTCCTGGGGGGCCCTGCCTTTGCCTGGCCCAGCAAGCATCCAGATTCACTTGCCATCTGCTGGGGAATAACGCGAAGGCCATAGGAATACGGGCGAAACCACTAGGTTTGAGATAAGGGTTATAGCAACTGGGTGACAGGAGATGCCTTCTTGTTGCAGGTTTGGAATCCAGCTCCATAAATGTAAATTGGTTCCTTATTTGGAATTGGTTAAATGGAGACTGCATTGCCTGTAATGTGTCTTTAAAAGAATAAAGGAATAAATGTTCTATCACAGTACCGTCGGCCGACGCAACAGGCTGGCAGAAAACAGGAAAAGGCAAGGCAGGAGAGATGCAGGGTGAGAGGCAACGAGGTCCTCCCTGTTTCACCCTCCGCATCCGCCATGAATCAGCTCTCACCTCTTGCTCCTCTTCGTCGGCCTCATCTCTGCAGCTGGTGAGTTTGTCGGGATCCCGCACTTTCTCTAAGAGGTCGAGGGTCAAGCTGGGGCTGAGCCCTGGTTGAGCCACTAGCTGATGCTGGAGGCAAAGAAAGAGTTGGTTGGAAGGAAAGGGGACAAGCGCTCCATTCAGTTGGGTTGTGTTGGTGGTGGCGGGAAGGAAGGTGGTCTTTCCGACACCCGCTGAAAAGGCCGCCCTTTTAAGCTCGAAACTGAAACGCTGCTCGCCTCTTTGGCGACGGAAAGAAGGCTCGGGCAGAAAGGCCTCCTTCTCTCGTGATGGCTCTCTTTGTTGAGTGCCTTTTGAGACCCTCGAAGAAAGTTTGGTGGTTCACAAACAATGAGCCACTCATATGATGGGTTCTTGATACAGTGGGCAGAAAGGCCTCCTTCTCTCGTGACGGCTCCAGGGTTCTCTTTGTTGAGTGCCTTTTGAGACCCTTGAAGAAAGTTTGGTGGTTCACAAACAATCAGCCACTCATATGATGGGTTCTTGATACAGACCCCCTTCCCCCGGCCCCAGGCTATCCCTGTATTAAAAAAACTGGCCAGACTTGTAGTGATATGGAAGTCAAGTGGGTCAGAAAGGAGGATAGGGCTCTGTCCGTCCTGCCTAAGAGGGGGCCAGATGTGGGAAGGGAAGAGGAGGACAGGAGGGGAGAGATGGCAGGACTTACAGTCAGCATTTTAGAGGCACTGGGTCGCTTCTTGGGGTTTTTCGTTAGCGTCACCTTGACAAAATTGTGAAAGGCTGGCGTCCTGTGGAGAAAGGGCAGGGTGGAGGGTGACTTGGAGTTGTAAGAGAGCAATGAATCTGGGAGGCTCAGTCTCATGAAAGGACCCCCCATGTCCTTTCTCCTTGCAGTGGTAGCAAATAGCCAGAGGAGGGCGCTGGACTGCATAATTATTTTCTGGCTGCTCTCTATGGCCACCACTGTATATGGCCAGAGAGTGGTACTGCAGCCGTGATGAGGAGGGTGGCTAAGCTCAAAGGGAACAGGAAAGCTTGAAGGTGGTGGATGATGACGACAATGATAATGACGCGCACACTGATCAAAAAAGTCCTGATGCTGTGAGCCTTGGCTGCTCCCTACAGCATTGTTCTCTGGCAACATTCTGGAACGTAGCTACCTTGTGGGTCTGAGCACCAAATTATATACAGAGATGGTTTCGTGTTAAAAGATGAGATTGACTGGTGTTCTAGAGATGTGGTTCAGTTGGACTGAAGGAACTCGGGAATCTTCCTTGCAATTGAAACTTGTACTTATGTCCCCCAACCACCAATCAGAAAGCAGAACAAGCTAATTTGCAAAGGCAGGAGATGTGAAAAAGGTCCTGTTGTGACAGTCACACATGTTTTCAGCCCTTACATGATTCCCTGCCTGAAATAATGCACAATCAAGCATGGGGCGGTGCACTTAGCGGTCTCTTATACAGTGTTAACCTGTGTGCACACATCCATCACTAGCTTCCGTTGACTTCTGCATTTGGAGGAGACCCAGGAGAGCTTCCTTCCTCGCCATTCAGGAAATGTGCATATGAGATAAGGTGACCTGACTCACCACTGGGTTTTCTCCTTCAGCTTCGGGGGCTGGTAACCGCTCTTGCTCATTAGAACCAAGACCCTACGAGAAGGAACCAGCAGGTAAGTCCCCACCACATCCCCTGATGACCAGTCTCTTCCCCCGCCCAGCTGCAGGCCAAGCATTTCGGGTTCGGCACCCAAAAAAACACAAAAGGTGCGATGCGGCACAAAATAAATTCCAACTGCAATGCCCTTCAAGAGGAGATCAACAGATCTTGAGGCTGTCAGCAGTCCTGGAAAATTCTGTTTTAAGCAAACAGACTTATCATCATAAGGTCTAGAAACTTGGTTTTCTTTTAACGAAACCAAAGGTGTTCTGAATTGTCCCCCTCCACATGCAAAAAAAACAACAACACACACTTCAATTCTTTGTCAGCAGAATGGGTGCAAAGAGGGAGTAGCAGGCCACATGACAATGATGGGGAGGAAGAGGAGGGAGGGAACCACCTTCCTCCAGAACAAACTCACCGCAAAGGGTGCACATCGAACATGGGGGGCTGAAGCTCGGCCAGCTCAATCGCCGTGATCCCCACGGACCACACGTCGCAAAGTTCATTGTATCCCCCCTTGACCTCCACCGCCGCGACCTCGGGGGCCATCCTGGAAGAGAAGCAGTGTGTATGTGATGGGGAACTTCGCCATTCCACAGCCCGCCTGCCACCCTCCGCCTTCCTCCGTTCTGTCCCACAATGGTCTCCCACAGACTCTGGGTTGCAAGCCGTGATGGGGAACTTCGGCATTCCACAGCCCGCCCGCCCGCCTGCCACCCTCCGCCTTCCTCTGTTCTGTCCCACGATGGTCTCCCACAGACTCTGGGTTGCAAGCAAAACCCTGGGAAGTCTCCTAACCAGATGGGGAGCATCTTTTTCCATGTTCCGATCACAACCCACCTTGCCCGTGAATGCATTCCCCCTCCCTCTCTTTCCTGGAACTAACCATGTTAGCTTTATGATGGAACCACAGCTCTCTTTCATCATCATCATTCTTTATTACGGTCACACCAGCAAACCGTATCACTAACCGTATCACTATTTCTAATCACTAACCGTGGTTAGAAAAGGCTGGTCCAACCACCCGTAGCAACAAAGGCAGAGGCTGATGCCCCAGCTCGATATACCCAATCCTCCTCCTATCTACCACCCCCTGCATTTGCGAACGTGGCTCGCAGGTGCCCAAATGGCCGGTTCGTTTTACCAATAAGGGGTGCCGATGAAAGACATTCTCCGGGCAAACGTAGCGCTGAGCTGTGCAGAGATCCCAAAATCCGCTGGCATGCAAGAAGAAATGGAGAGAAAGAGAAAAGCTAGGACAGCTGCTTCCAGCGAATACTGGAAGTGTTTGAATTTCAAGGTCCACCCTGCAATGGTCGGGAGTCTCCTGACTTAACGGGTTAAACTGCAGTACTGCAGTTGAGAATCTGCTCTCAATCCGAGTTTAATCTGGACAGGCTGAAGGTTGATTTAGCCTTCCATTTCTCTGTGATTAGTAAATGAAGTACTTGGCTCACGGAGCAATGTAGAGCATTCATAGTGGAATTGCAGAGCACCGAGAGAGGGCTTTAGGGGTTATGGGGCAGTATATAAGCCGCACACTTCAGTTTGCTTTCCATGTGGAAATTTAGAAAGCAGCAGGCCCAATATGAATCTGGATCCCTGGGCTTCTGCAGTAATTGCTCTAGCAAATGAGTTTAATTGTCGTCCGGAGCATGAAATCGAGAAGCCGGGCTTCCCACTGCCTGTTTCCACCCAAACCTCTCGCAAGGACACGGAAGTGACAGGCTGGCTTTCAAGACCGAGGCACAGCAGGCAGGCGAAGAAGTTGTGAAAATGGACAGCGGTGGAATGAAATCCCATCGGACGTTTTCTTGACGAAACAGCAGCCGACACCCCCCCCGACCCCCAGAGCCTGCAAGGGGACCCTCTGAGAATGATGCCCAGCGTGACTATGTCATGAAACATACCTAGCTTGACTTCCCCGTGGTCATTGAGAAGAATGTTGGCTCCCTGAAAGGCAAAAGGGCACACAAAGGAAGTGAGAGGCTACACAAACACTGTCCCACACACACACACACATCTCTCTTCTGTCCCACTCTTAAGCCGAGGGGAGGCGAGACTTGATTTCTAACCAAGGGCCTCGGGTTCAAGTCCGATGCTGGGAAAGCTGCCATCTGTGGTATAGAAAAAGCTTTATTTGGCTTAGGGAAAGGCACTCTGCACGTGTTCAGAGACGTCTAGAAGCAAGCTGGTAATATATTTGTTTGGCCAATGTTTTTCTTTCCCTCCTCGGCTTTAAACGCTCCTCAAGCCACGTCCTCTTCGAATTTTCCCGACCCAGGTGTCGCCTCCCTCTCTAAACCGACGTCCTCCATCGACCGCTTCTCTGGCTTTCTCTAACCGCCCCCCTCGCGCTTCCCCTCCGATTCTTTATCCATCCGTACATGTTTTCGTGATGTGAATATTCCACCTCTAAAAAGCTCATATTTAAGGGAGAGGCCCTAAAACCAAGAGACAGTGCAGTTCCCAGCCTGACAAGGACCTTGCGATTACCTTAATATCTCTGTGGATCTTCCCTTGGCGATGAAGATAAGAAAGACCCTAAGGAGACAAAGAACAAAGGTCGGCCCCAGAAATCCAACGGGCGCAAGAGCCAAGGACATCTTGACTCGGACCCAGTATCCTTCAGGTGTGTTGGACTATGATTTTCATCATCCTCAGCCAACATGTAGAACACACCTGGAGAACAGCGGCTTTTTTTTGTTCCAATTGCAGAACACCGAAACGTACTCTCTGGTGTATGCGGATGGGGCTACTTGGAAGCGCAGTTCCTCCAAAGACTTGCACAACTGGGGGAATGCTAGTGTTTAAAAGGATTTGATCCTGGCTGGAGACAGATCCAACCAGTCAACCCCAGTCTATCGGCAAGTGTCCCAGAGTTTCGTTCATCCCGTACTCACTTGTAACGTTTCTCGACATATGAAAGCAATCTGTAGCTCTGATAAGGGCCCAGTGGCTGTGAAGGCAAAGGGAAAGATCGTTTGAGCACCATCCTCAGTCTGGACCAGCGGTTCTCCAACAGGGGTGCCCAGATGTTGTTGGACTGCAATTCCCAGAAGCCTTTTCACCACCAGCTCTGCTGGCCAGGATTTCTGGGGGTTGCAGTCCAAGAACATTAGGGGGACCCCGGTTGGAGAACCACTGCTCTGGACCGCAAAGAGGTCACCTGTCCTTCCAAGAAATTTAAAGCTGATGTTCTGAGGGACCTCCAAAGCCTGAGTGGTAAGTGAGATGCTTTCCATGTGGAACGCAGTTGGAGAACCATTGCTCTGGACCACAAAGAGGTCACCTGTCCTTCCAAGAAACTTAAAGGTGATGCTCTGAGGGACCTACAAAGGCTGAGTGGTAAGTGAGATGCTTTCCATGTGGAAGGTTCCCAATTTAATCCCTTGCCTGTGTGTAATGTTGTTTCTCAACACCCATGGGGCGATGTCGTTTAATCCTCCCTCGCTTGTGTTTACTGTTGTTTCTCAACACCCATGGGGCGATGTCAGTGGCCTCAAAGGGGAGCCGATAAGGGGCAAGGATCCTCCCTCTAAGTAGGATCACTCAGATCATCCTAAGGGCCCTCTAGAGTAGACCCATGGTTCCCAAACTTGGAGAACTCAAGTGTTCTTGATCTGCAGTTCCCAGAAATCTTCACCATCAAAGTTGGAGTTGCACCCCAAGAACACCGGGGTGACCCATGGTTGGGAACCACAGCGGTCATCCAACCCATCTTCTCAAGTCTCCATCTTGTCTTCCCCAGGGCTAAAGCTACTCAACCCCCTCGGCTATTCCTCACAGGAACGTGTTGCCGTGCGTTTGGCCCTCCGTCATGCTCAGCAGGAGCAGAATCCACTGGGGCAAAAACAGGATAAGCAGAAAGGAGGGAGACACGATCTGAGTCACAAGGCCCCCCCCCGTCCAACCCAAACTAAGCACAGTGTTGTTCGTTTGGGGGGGGCAGAGCCTTTCCTCTGAGGCAGGTGTTGACTAAAAGGGAAAAGAAAGCAATCAAACCACACAGTTTCACTTCTGCATTTCAGGACCTCATGCTCAGTGTTTCAGCTCACCTCCTCATCCCGACTTCCCCCACCATCTGACAAGGGGTGTCTGTCATACAATGGCAGTCACCCCCACTGGGTGGAACAAACAGCCCGTGGACGTGCACCGGGCGCCGTCCCTCCCAATATTCAAGAAATCGCTCAAGACAGAAGTATATAAGGCAACCTTTAAGGATCTCATACCCTCAAAGAATGTTAACTCTTTGAACATTAGGTTTTCTGAAGATGATTGCCATCAAAGGGGTCATGGCGCCATTTTGATTATGTTATTATGGGAATGAAGTGGGTGGGTGGTTTTGCTTGTTTTTACACCACCCACTTTCTACCCTGGACAGCCAGAGGGAGAAACAAGAGGGTCCTAGATCAAATTTAAGCCTGAACGATCTCTGGACTCAAAAATGTTGAAACTGAGACGGTCCTGCTTTGGGAACATCATGAGAAGGCGGGATTCCCTGGAGAAGACCCTAAGGCTGGGAAAAGTGGAAGGCAGCAGGAAAAGAGGAAGATGGATTGACTCCTTTAAAGGAAGCCATAGGGTTGAGTTTGCAAGAGTTGAGCAGGTTAGTTGAGGACAGGACCTTTTGGAGAGGTCTCATTCATGGGGTCACCCTAAGTTGGGGGTGACGGTGGGACCTAACAACAACGCCCCGAATAATGTGAATTCACTCATTGGGTGGTGTATGGCCTCCTGAGGACTGGAGTCAAAACAATGTAGGTCATGTTTCTGTCCTTAAGGCGTGACAGACCCTAAGGTAGGAAGGAACAAGTGTCTGATTCCACCTTTCGCCAGGTGAGGCAGGGAGGGTGTTAGGGAGACCATCTTCACCTTGGTAAATATCTTGAAGAGAGCCCCCGGCGCAGTACTCCATGCAGATCCACAGCTTGTTGAACCTAGTGAGCCAATAGAGTAGACCGAGAGTTGTAGGGCGGGACAGCCAGGTCTGTGGGGTAGGGTTGCAACAGGGTGGGGGGGCAGATGGCGACCCCACCATCGCCACTGGAGGGGCAGCTCTTTGAACTGACCAACCCATTGCCATAGCCCATGAGGCTCTCTTGTGATATGACCAGGCAGGTGTTCCTGGACACACCTCTGTGGGGGGAACCTACTTCGGGCGGCGAAAGGACACACACCTGCTCACCCAGGAGCAAAAAGGGCCAGGTGGAGGGTGGGGTGGGTGGGAGGCAGACATCTTTCTCTCTCACCGTATGTAGCTGCTGTAATAGGCGATGATGTTGTGATGTTTGCAGGTCTTCACCATCAGGATCTCTTGCTGAATGATGGCGCAGTCATCGTCTGCAGAGGATGGAGGGAAAGAGGGTAATTGAAAAGGCCCTTCGATTCAAAGATTTTTGGGAGGGGGGGAGACAAACCAGGTAGGACTTTTAATTGCACAATTCCAATCAATGTGCATTTTCTCTTCAGTAGCTTTCAGGGAGCCACAAAATCATGGTGGTGGAGGGGTGATTTTTCAGAGATTGGGTCGGGGCCAGCCAGAGAAAACCACATCATGCAACCCTATGGCTGCTTTGCCAGCCTCTACGCATTTCAGGGACCGGGGGGGGGGAGAGATAATTGCACTTGTGAAATGAACATCACATCTAGATGTTGACATTAACAGCCCTTTGCTGTACCACGTATGTGGACTCAGATTGTTTTCTGCCCCTCTTTCTTCCTGGACTTTTATTCACATTATTATTGGAATATTTCCAATGGCAAAGCCATAGCTCTGAAGCCCTTAGGAGAAAGAGAAATCCACCAGCCGGCCCTCAATGCGAAACTGGTGCCCTTTTCCATACTAACGACCCCATATGGCTGTGGGTTTTCTGGCGGAAGAAACGAACATATTCAAAAATGTAAATGAGGGCAGCAATGGGCCGAATGCATTTTGAGCGTTCTTGCAAAAGGAAGGGCAGTTCACTTAAAGAGGAAACTGACAAATCGAAATTCCACCACGGAGGGGGGGGGGATTAAAGACAGACACAAGTTTGACATTTATTATTCCAAGACACTGCTTGCTTCCTCCATCTGTTGTTTAAAATTTTCCCTTCCTGGAATCTCCAGCCCTTTTTATAGATTGTTTGGATGCTGGTGTAAGATGGTTGCTTGTCTTCCTGTGTTTCTTCCGGGACGATTTGTGAAAATCTGAAGCCAAAGACATCTTGATAAAACACAGTCCGTGAGGACAGGCAAAGGGTGGTTTTAGAGGCTTCTAAAACAACAGCTCTAAAGCTGAAAAGGAGAGAGACGGAGAGACGCTGCTACACAATTTCCACGCTGGAGAGAAAGCAAAGAATATATGGTGGCCTGTAACTATTTAAAAAAAATCAAATATATATCACTTCAAGTGACACATGGGTTGCAGCCAAAAAGAAGCTCGCTTCTCTTCTTTAGGAGTTTCGCGGTCTAATAACGGTTTGTCCGCCCTTGTTTCCAGATTGTGTGCAAGGTTCATGTGGCTTTTTTTCTTCTTCTTCTTTTTAATTGATAACAACCCTCAGCCAAAAATATGGAAAAAAATCTTTAGCATAACCAGCTTCCATGGAGGGCCACCAGCTTTGAGGCTAGGCTGCAGCAATCTATGAAAGCATACACTAAATAAGATTTATTAGTTGTTGGGGTATCACAAGAGAGGTTGGGCGTTCGATTGCCCAAAAAGGGCCAGCCCGGGTGGCCTTGGGCCGGCTGCACGCAGTCCCAGGGTGCCCCTAGTGGAAGGGAAGGGAAACCACTTCTGAGTCTTCTCTACCTAGAAAACCCTGGAAAGGGTTGACATAAGGCAGAATTCTCTTGACTTCATTTTTGTTTTGTTGCGACGGACTCATTCAGCCACCACACCAACCACGGAATATTTCGTGACATGTCTCTGGTGGTTTCTCTGCGAGAAACTGGATGTGGCGGCCCTTGACCATGTCCCCTTAGAGCTCAATAATAAGTATATAATTGAGCCGTAAGAGTTGGTCTGTTTTTCATTCCTTTTCAAATGAAAGTTGCATATTTTGCAAAAAAAAAAAAAAGGTCTCTGCCCCTCGCAATAACCCAGAATTACTAATGTGTCAGCTTTCTGAAGAAAATGTTCTCCAGGCTTAGGATGACACGGAGCGCTTAATTTGAGACAGAGTTTATCAAGGTTCCAGCTTATTTCTTCACACTGTCCCCAGAGGATTAAGAAAGTTTGCTTTTGAGCATATGCAGAGTGCTTTCCGTTTTGCAAATGAGTAAACTCCATTTGAGATGAGCAGATGACAAATTTGCCATTCAGACATTGTGTGATCAGGAAAATCATGGAACTGGTCCCATTTTCTTTGAAAAACAAACTGCTGGGTGGATTTTGGCAATCATCATCGCAAAGGAAATTTCATGTAGCTGTTCCTTTCAGGAGATAACAGTCCATGAAAAGAGAGCATGTGGTGTTTTCCCACTCACCTGCTTCCATTTTTACAATTTTGATAGCTGCCAGCTTCCCCGTCTCCTTGTTTCTTGCCTGAGACAATACAGAATTTTTTAAACACTTTAAATAATAAATAATACGAGAAGGACAGCTGCATTACAGTTCAAATTATCAGGGAAAGCACCTTAGCCCATCACCCTTTCAAATGTACCATCTTCTAGTCAATCATATCTGTTTCTTAAACGGCCAGGAAAAGGCCTGTTCTTCATCCATACCACCCAGTATACCACATAAACTGGTTTTAACATGATTGGTGTTGTGAGTTTCCTTCTTTGCTTGTTCCCCCCCCCCACTGTTTTTTTGCTTAGATTTTTTTTTTTTTTTTTTTGCTGTTCTGCTTTGTTTCTCTGCCTATATGGATATAAATATAGCTTTACGAATGTTACGAATGCAATTGCAGTTCCTCTTTAGTTTGTGATTGGAGCCCAAAGCATGTCAGTGTTGGAGACACATGATTCAGGCGGCCTTTCGGGTTAGAAAAATCAGATTCAGAACACATCCCATGCTGAGGTCCTGTAGACCAATCACAAAACAAAAGGAAACTGATCTGCAAATTACAGGAGGCAGAAAAACCCTTTACTGTGCCCTTGGACGTTTTCAACTGCCTGTTTTGTTTTGAAAATCAGGGAACAGTGAAAAGCATAGAGTAAAGTTTAGAGTCAGAGAAGCAAAACACGAGTTTTTTTCTAACAATACAAAGAGCAACTTCAGAGTGATATTTGTATGGTATTGGGTACATTCACACACACACACACACACACACACACACACACACACACACACACAAACTTTAAAAAGAAAGGGGTCAAATTCCCCCTCCCCTTTGTCATAGAACAGCTGTGTTGTTGTTTTTTGACAAAAAATGAACAGAGGTAAAAAGAGCAGATATTGGGTCTCTATCCCTTTATCTAATTTGGCCTCTTTAAGCAGGAACAGAGAGAAACAGGAAGTGGAATGCAAGACAGAAATTTGGCTGTCCAGAAATTCGGACTTCCAGATGTGGTCTTCTACGGCTTTTCTTCCATGGAGGGTGGGATTGTGTCGCCATTCAGACTACCTAGCCCTTACTAGGAAAAAGAATGTTTCTCTGTACAAAACAGTGCAGTTTTACAGTCTGAAACACAACCTTGTGCACTTCTAACCTCAGGCATTTCTTCCTTCTCGTTTTAATTCTTCCCAGTTCAAGGAGATCATTAATTTTGAAAAGAAAGAAAGACAGACAGCCAGTAAGAGAGGAGCACCATAGCTTAGATCTGCCCATAATTTTTTCCTCCAAAAGGGTAAGTGAAAAGCATTGCGTCCTTGTGTGGGAGGATGCTTCTTCGGCCTTATGTGGGTCCCTTAATTTTAAGATTCTGTATCTCTGACTTGTTACCCTACTCACAGGATAAAGCTAACCAGCTCTTTGTGGCCAAACTGATCATTTGACAACAATCTCGCTCTTAAGGAAAGGTCATTCGAGACACTTGCACTTTGCTTGCTTTAAAAAATAATAACAAATTGTTTTTAAATTTGTTCTTAATTCAACATGCAGGACAAATCGGATCCTTCCCTCTTCAACACAACCAGCTTTCTCTGCTCGCCGAGCAACGGCTGGTCCTTCCCAGGTTGTTTAAAAGCATCTCTCCCCTCTATCAGGTTTTCTTTCTTTCTTTCTTTCTTTCTTAGAGTTCCCCAAAGTTTCTCGGGTGTGGGTAGTGCGGTTTCAGCTACAAAAAGCAGCGGCACATGTGAGAACAGCAGATTGTCACAATGTGATGATGGTGGTAATCGGGAAAAAAATGTGGCTTTACATTCTTTTTGCAGCCTACCAAAGAGGGCCTGCAAAATGACCCTTTGGGACCCCCTTGACAACTATCATTCTTTGCATTTCGTCCCTCACTCTAGGCATGCATAAAGAACTGGACTGCTCCCCCTCCCCACAAGAGCCCCGGTCAACCCTAACGCCTTGCTCTTTAAGGTAATGCAAGGTTCTTAGTTATCCACCAGGTCTTTGCTTCCCTGGAGCCGTAGAGAAAATGACCGAAAGAGTTTTCAGCGAGGTAGCCAGACACGTTAATCTATTTTTCAGGAGGCGTTGACAGAAATAAAAAGAAAAAAATTATGGGGCCTTAAAGGCTAGCAGGTTTATTTCAGTATAATAAGCACTGACGGGTTTGAATCCAGTTCTTCAGATACAAAGAGGAAAGCACACTGTATTGTAAACTTTCAACAGATTGTGAATAAGGAACGGGATTGTAATCCACAAAAGCTCTCCCTTAAATCCAGATGTTAGCCTTTGAAGACTAACTTGGGATCTTGTTTATGTCACTCAAAGATAGCAAAATCGCTACTCCCCTCCACCCCAGTAAATCTCTGTGTGCTTTTAATAGCTAAATTAGGAAAAAATACAGCAGGCACAGCTTTTTCCCAGCACTGTGGCCTATTGAAAAGGAATAAAAGGAATAAAAGAAAAAAATACTGTTTTAAACAATGAGGTTCATGTAGTGCCATGGACTGTGTCCAACCAACTGATAATCCCCACGGATACATAAAGTTCCCTGGCTACCGAGTGAACATTCATTTCAATTGGTCAGGCATGGTGTTCTGGATCCCTCACCGTGTCTTAGACTAGACTAGACTGACCTCCAGTGAGGGAACCCACACTGCTCTTGAGATATTTGGAGGAAAGGGATAATAAAACATGCGACAAATAACCCCATTTGCCCGCTTTCCCAATATAATGTGGCCATGAGTTCCACAGGGCGCCTTAGTAGAGGACAACAACCTGATTCCTTTTGTCCCCACCTCATTTTCAGCTCAGCCATGCCCTTTGACTCACAGTCCCAGCTCACGGGACACAGTGCTCCCTGACGCACATTTTCCGAGAGAGGAACGATGTGGTTACCTTATAGACCTCCCCATAGGTGCCTCCACCAACTCTCTGCAAAAGTTCAAAGTCTTCCTGAGGGTTTCTGGTGGAAATGTCGAGGACGGTTCTTTCTCGGGCATCCATTCTTCAGTGTGTCCCCCACCCCACCCCCTGCCTCGCAAGGCGGAGGCTGCCGACTCGGTGCCTCTACATGCGTCGGCGCCACCAGCAAGCACTGTGGTCACAGCACTGATACATTTCTCAGCGCACTCCGCTTCCTGATTTGAAGCATGATTGGTTTGAAATCCTCCGTGGCCTTTAAACAGGCAAATTCTGCAATGAAGAAATCAAGAGTTGTACAGGGTGGGCTCTGTCTCCCCTCTTGAAGGGGACCGGTGGTTTCCTTTGGGAGAGAACGCCAATTTGTTTGCATGCCTTTCTTTATTATCCGTGGGATTTATATGCCACCTTTCAAACAAAAGTACTCAAAGTGGGGTGAGGGGCTTTCGCCCTTCCTCTTATTCTCACAACGGCCCTGTGATGTAGGCCAGGCGGACAGAGAGAGTAACTGGATGTCACTCCCTGGGGTTTGGGAGATCCCTGTGTCCCTTCCCAACCATGACACCCCAGTCTTTCCTCCGGGAGACCCAATGCTAAAAAGCTGTGCTCTGAAGAAGAGGAGTTATAGAAAGCTGTCTGATATTCAAGTTAGATTATTTCTGCAACCAGATCACCGTGGGAAACCTTAACCGGAGTCTTGAAATGGCATTTTTAAACAGCTGTTTCTGATCCCCATATAGGGGTGTAGACGTTGGACAGTTAAGAAAACGGACAGGAAAAAAATTATTCATTTGAAATGCGGTGCTGGAGGAGAGCTTTGTGGATTCCCTAGACGCCCAGAAGGATGGACCGTGGGTCCTAGATCAAGTCAAGCCTGAACTATCTCTGGAGGCAAAAATACCAAAACTGGGGCTGTCCTACTTTTATATCACGAGAAGGCAGGATTCTCTGGAAAAGACCATCATAAGGCTGGGAAAGAGGGAAGGCAGCAGGAAAAGAGGAAGACCCAATATGAGATGGTTTGACTCCTTGAAAGAAGCCATAGGGTTGAGTTCCCAAGAGGTCAGGAGGGCTGTGGAGGACAGGACAAACTGGAGGGTTTGCATTCATAGGGTTGCAATAAGTGGAAGTGACTTGACAGCACATAACAACAACTGTTGAATTAATAGGTGTGCAAGCTCAGAATGTGGTTTCGTTGTGCTCATGGTTCCCACTAAGCTGATGACACTGCATTCACGAAACAGTGTGTAAATGTGTGTAACACATCAAATCTACAACCCAAGCAGTATGGGGCCGAAAGCAAAGGATATTCCTTATTAATTGCAGCGTCTGCCTTCCGACTGCCAACACCTGGAACTGAACTTCAAATGCTCTTCAAATATTCTGCAGGTAAAGAAGTGTTTATTTATTTATTCATTAAACTCGTATACTGCACTGATTAGCTATAAACACTATTCCGGTCAGTTTACCCCCAGAGCGAGACAAACATAAAACAAATCAAAATATAATTTAAAAAACCCAAACACTACATATAATCTATCCATAACCAATGAAACAGACTAACAGAACCCAAATGACGGCAGACAGGCCGTTGAGAGATCATCAATCCTCTCTTGTAGAGAGAGGATGCTTACAAAGGCAAGCAGCATCCTCTTGAAGGTTGTGAGGAGAGAGGGCAGGGCTTGCTCCACCGGGAGCCCATTCGAAAGGGAAGGAGCCATGACCCAGAAGGCCCTGTTGCTGGTTGCTGGTGCGGGTCACTTTGTCAAGTAGAAGCGGGGAGACAGTTTTCTGCAGAAAGTGCTTTAGAATCACAAATAATGAAAGCAGAAGTGGCTGGAGGTCCACTTCCTGTTTAGATAAAGGAGTATTCGGGGATATTAAAACAGCGCAGAAGAGCCCTGTGACGTATTTTGAGGATATATCACACCACTTTTGACAGTGTCTGAAAATTTAAGTTGACAGGTGGGGTTTTTTTCATGCCAGGTAAATATAAGGAGATGTGGGAGGCTTAAAAATATATTATTTTTTGTGGGGGTCCAGCACCCGTTCCTCACTCTGTCCTGACACCAATGGCTGCTCCTTGATCTCCCCAAGCCAAGGCAGGCCCAGAGGAGTCTACACAGAACATCTGTCCAGGATGGTCACCAAGGCTACCCAGCCAGCCCAAGTGGTTGCGAGGTGCGGCTGCCAGTTGCACCCCGACGAACGAGCCACCTAACAAAGTGTCCTCGTCCTCAACCGTGGCTTCCTTTGGGGAGTCTGCCCATCTCGCGTTGGGTCTTCCTCCTCTTTTCCTGCTGGTTTCTCCCTTTCTCAGCATGATGGTCTTTTTTTTTTTTTGCAGAGCATCCTCCCTTCTCAGGAGCAAGCCTCAGGTTCATCCCTTTGGGACTCCAGAGAGAGTGCAGGCTTGACTGGATCTGGGACCGCCCCCCCATCCAAAGCTCTCTCCTTCAGCCTTTCCAAGGGAGCAGAATCTAAACGAGCGCGTCTCGTTCACGGCCTCCTTCGACAAGGGCTTCCCTGGAGCAAAACTCCCAACACATGACTTTCTTTTTTCAGGAGCAAGCCTCAGGTTCATCCCTTTGGGACTCCAGAGAGAGTGCAGGCTTGACTGGATCTGGGACCGCCCCCCCATCCAAAGCTCTCTCCTTCAGCCTTTCCAAGGGAGCAGAATCTAAACGAGCGCGTCTCGTTCACGGCCTCCTTCGACAAGGGCTTCCCTGGAGCAAAACTCCCAACACATGACTTTCTTTTTTTTTTATTTTTTATTTTTAAAAAATATGACTTTTTTAAAAAAAATTTCCCAGGCAAACTCTTTGGATTTTGCCCGGGACGCCTTTTTTTGAAGGGGGGGAGGCTCCCATCGCCTGGGATTCCCCGTCTAGCTTTCCCTCCTCCTTCTGCTGCGGCCTTTCCCCCTCCCGGTGGATCGGGCCCTCTTGGGAGCTCCACGTGTCTCGAACCCTCCTCCCGCCGCCTCGCCCGCGCACGCGCGCTCCTTCTCCCCCAACCGAGGGGCGGGGCACAAGCTAAAACCCAGCCCTCCCCCTGGGCGTGGCCTCTCGGGTGGGCGGTCCGGGTCCTTGGCGTCGGGCGCCTGCGTCGCGTTCTCTTCCCTTCTTGCGCATGCGTCCCTCCCCTTTTCCGCCGGCGCTTTAGCTCTTATACGGCCTGGTCTTGCGAGGCCTCGCCGGAACCGGAAGTGCGCGGCTCACCCTGGGCGGAAGGGTCTCGCGTCCCCAGCCTCCTTCCGCTTCCGGTGCTGCTGCTGCCCGGCTCGCTCGCACCCAGCGTGCCATGGCGCTCTTCGAGCAAATGCGGGCCAACGTGGGGAAGCTGCTGAAAGGGATCGACAGGTGCCCCGGCTCGGATTAATTAGGAACTAAATTTGATGAATGTCTTTGTTTCTTCCACTGTAATTTCTCTCAAGGCAGCCTCGGGTGCCCTTTTCTCACCGCCCTCCCTCCTTCCCTCCCTCTTTTCCAGGTACAACCCGGAGAACCTGGCCACGCTCGAGCACTACGTGGAGATCCAGGCCAAGGAGAACGCCTACGACCTGGAGGCCAACCTCGCCGTCCTCAAACTGTGAGTCCAGGAGTCCAGGCGCCCTTCCCCTTCGAGGGGGTCTGATAAAATGGCAGGAGTTTGGGGAGCCCAGCCCTGCTGTCCTAGGCGAGTTTGCTGCAGCAGCAGAAGGTGGGAATGCCAATGTTTAAATCTGGGCTCGATGAGGAGACTTGCTGGTCCCTCCCTACGAAATTGGGGTCTGTGAGTGAAGCGTCGCACAAACGTGGTTTTGAGACTTTAGGGGAAATCGTGAAATGCTTGGTGCGGCAGAGCTCATGTGAAACTGGGAAGACGAAACCGGGTAGTTGTTGTGGGTTTTCCGGGCTCTTCGGCCGTTTTCTAAAGGTTCTTCCTGAAGTTT